TTTATGCTGTTGGGTGACTTATTGAATTTCCTCTTGTTTGTCATCGATTTTATTTTTTTGTGCATATTGTAACTGTCGTATTTTCGTTCGTATTGTTCTATTTCCCTGCATTCGTTGGAAAACCATTTTTCTTTGGCTTCTCGAATTTTATAGAGTTAACTTCTCCAGAGTTAACTTTCTGTTGTTATATTTAGTAATAGTGTCATTAAACAATTTAACCATTGCTTTTGTTTTATTAATGAAGGTGTTAAGTGGATTTTTTTCCAAAACTACAAAACTGTTATCTGATAGAAAAGATTCTACTTTCTCAATGTATTGAATTTGTTCTAAGATTACAACACAATTACCCTTATCAGCCTTGCTGAGTACAAAAGAATCTCTCTCAATTTTATGTTTAATTGATTTTAGCAAATCCTTTTGTTTTTTTAAATTATGGCGATGTCTATGAAAATTGCGTTTGTACTTACATTATTGTTGTTAAAGTAAGCTAATGCAAGAGTTTCTCAAGTATTGTTTAATATCAGCATTTTTAGTCATACCTTCTATTAGAGTATCCAGCTCCACTGCAAATCCTCCAAGCACTGAGTTATTTAACCTAAAATTCTGACAAGAAAACTTAAGGCCTAATCCTAAAAAATACAATTCATCCTCTGAAAAGTTAATGTTACTTAAGTTTAAGACTCTAGGATGGAATTGGTGATCTGAAAACTTATGCATAGGTGTTGAGGTGCTTCTCTGTTGTTTTTGCAAAATCAAACGGTTTAGTTTGTTGGTAAGACTTCTCTTCTTGGTAGATTTTAAGCGGGCGACCTCATCTTCTATGTTGTTGAAGAAATCGTTGACAAGAAACCAAGGATTCTGTTGCAAAATTTGATCATAGGTAATTTTCAGATTGACATTAATATGATGGAGTTTGGTATAGTGCTTCTTAAGTTCTCTTTTCAGGATCTTTTTCTCCAAAATCTGTTTATCCTTATCAGGTACATTTTTTGATGTTTTGACCTTAGCAAAAGTAGGAGTGACTTGATGTAAAATGCACTGCCTAACGAACCAAATGTTTAAGAATATAATCATTCTCTTGCAGGATAGTCTTCTGTAAGTATCAACCAAGACTGTCATAGTCAATAAATCAATATAAGGTTGAATGTTCGAATAACTAAACTTTAAGGGTATACAAGGCAACTATCGAACACGGTGATTAATTTAATCTTGCCCAAGTACTTTCGATCAATAGATCATTCTTGGCTTATTTCAGATGCCCCTGAAGATGGCAGATGGCTCTCTTTGCATCTCTTTGTTACCGTCGCTTTCAAAGGTTGTAGAAAAATTGGTAAAAATACAAATGATGACTTGCTTACAAAAACACAATTTACTTTCTTCCTTAAAATTCAGTTTCCAGTCATTAAAAAGTACATATAATGCCATCCTCGAATTCATGGAAAAACTATACTTAAACTTAAATAACGATTATGTTGCTGCCGCAGTTTTCTGTGATCTGCTTAAAATACTTCTTAATAAACTGGAAAGATATGGTTTTAGAGGCACTGCTCTAAAGTGGTTCAGTTCATACTTGGAAGACAGATGCTAGTCTGTATCAAACAATGAGCGCTACTCTAGTAATATCTTTATTAATTGTGGAGTACCTCTTGGGTCCTATTTTTTTCTTGATATATTTTAACGACATCACTAACTCCGACATTAATGGCTGATTTACTATATTTGGTCAAGATGACACCACAATTTTATGGCAAAACAAGGACTCTAAGGTACTGAACAAGATTATTAGTAGTGATATGCTAAAAATCTTAAAGTGGTGCAAAGCTAATCATTTGACATTTAATTTTTCAAAAACCAAATTAATTTTTTTTTAAGAATGATCTATCTAAACAACATTACTCTGGGCAATGAAGGCATTTTGAATTAGCGCTTAATAAAAAAAACAAAGAGGATATTCGGACAGATTTCCCTTATAACTCGTCTAAATGATGTTAATCCACTTCCAATTCCCTCTTCTATATTAATTAAAAAATCATTTATTTACACTGGTAAGAAAGTGTTTAATCACCTAACACTCGGTATAAGATCCTCAAGCAATATTTTTGTATTCCGAAGACCAATCAAGAAGTTTTATTATCTTGATTTTTGTCGATAGGACATTTGGATCAAAAGATATCGAATTTTTACCATCATGCTGATACAAATTTTATTACATATTGATTTCGCGCAAGTAACTGACATGCAAAATCGAAGGTCGCTTCAAGCGTTGTTTCGAAGAGAACAATTAATTATACACAAAAAATGTTCATAAACATTTTTGTTTAAAATTATCTCAGCTACATTTTTTATTTGAAATATTTTTTCTACGGTGTACAGATACTTGGTAAATCGATTTTTTTTGTGTTTTTACCCTCCTGCGAGGAGGATTTTACTGGGAAGTCCGGGGGAAAAGTGGTAAACTTTTTTGCTTCTTTTTTAATGTCTTAAAATTAATATTCTCTGCAAAATTCAGCCTGTTCCTACGATTTTTAGGAGCCAACTCTCTTACGACTGAACTACATTAAAATGGCGAATGAAAAATTCATCAGTGTCGAATATGATCGAAGAAACTTTCAAAATAAATAAAGAAAAATCAATAAAGTACAAAAAGACGCTCTAGGAAATAAAATCACACCATTAGAAATCACGATAACTAGTGGTCCTCCTCAACAACAAAAAAAGCTAGAGGCGACAAAGGTGAATGTGTTTAAATGGTCCTTGAGATAATATAGAAGATACAAAATCAGGAATAATGAAGTCAGACAGCGTATGTGATTGAGACATAATAAAAAGAATGAAAGACAACACACTGTTCAAACTCTCTTATCAGAAACTAAACAGTAAACATCGTACTTTATGATAATCAGTTCGTTAATAATGATCCAAAATTTTATGAAATTCAGGATATTGTGAAATGAAAAAGGCAGTAAAGATTAGATTTCACGTACAAAGCGTCTATGTATCTGTTTATACGTATTTCGGCCTAATAGGCCTCATCAGAACAGCTATTCATAGGCGTTCTCAACGTGAAAAATAAATCTTCTCTGTCTTTAACAAGCAACATTAAAATGGCTTCGATATAGACGCAATAGCGACATCTGATAATAAATCCGTAAAATAGTTTGGAAACCAATTCAGATTTCTGCTTTAATCTGAACCTTCTTAGAATTGCAAGGTAAACAGACGTTGATAAAGATGTTAAAAGAGACATGGGGAATCTAAAATTTGCATTCCACGACATGTCCTCAACTAAGCAGAAATCCTTAGCGAATTGGTTTCTTGTACTCATACAGAGTAGATCCGAGTTCTTTAACATACTTATCAACGTCTGTTTACCTTGCAATTTTTAGACGGTTCAGATTAAAGCAGAAATCTGAATTGGTTTCGAAACTATTTTACGGATTTATTATCAGATGTCGCTATTGCGTCCATATCGAAGCCATTTTAATGTTGCTTCTTAAAGACATAGAAGATTTATTTTTAGCGTTGAGAACGCCTATGAATAGCTGTTCTGATGAGGCCTATTAGGCCGAAATACGTATAAACAGATACATAGACGCTTTGTAAGTGAAATCTAATCTTTACTGTCTTTTTCATTTTATTCGGATCTACTCTGTATGAGTACAAGAAACCGATTCGCTAAGGATTTCTGCTTAGTTGAGGAGACATGTCGTGGAATGCAAATTTTAGATTCCCCATGTCTCTTTTAACATCTTTATCAACGTCTGTTTACCTTGCAATTTTTAGAAGGTTCAGATTAAAGCAGAAATCTGAATTGGTTTCGAAACTATTTTACGGATTCAGGATATTGTATTTAAAAAAGTTGACGATGACTTCATTATATTAATAATTATCACTCTGCATATATTTTTTTAAAAATTTTAAAAAAGTAAAATTAGAAATGGACCTGTTTCAGCCTTTCTTGAAAATATTTGTAATTTAGAAAATAATAACTTTACTACATGCACCTTTTTGATACTAACATTGTAATTGGAACAAGATTTTACTTTAACCCATATGACCTCTATCGAAATATTGGGCTCCGTGGTGATTCATCCAAAGTTTTGAATCTTAGCTGAGTTTGGGTAATTAGTGATGGGATATTATTGTAAGATAATATTTATTGAATCTATTGCATCATATATAGCCGATAGGTGGCAAAACATGATACCGTATTTATATTCACAATCATCCTTTCAATTAATTCCATGAGTTATGTGCGTCCGTCCTAACTCATATATTCCTAACACATTATACTTCAACCTCCAAAACTAATAGTGTGAATGAAATTACAATTGAGGTGTCATGACCCTATTATTCCATACACTTGGTTACGCCCATCTGGTTTCCGTAATTGTAACCTCTTCACACATCGGATATTCGTTCAATGTTCTTTATTGAATATGCGTTGCTTCAAAAGACATTCGACGAGTCTTATGATTTTGGGGAAGACTAGGAACTTTGACAGGGCTTCTTGGTCTACACCTATATTTTTAATTCTTCGTCAGACTCTTTGTCCGCCAAATTTTCAGTTTGAAACTAACCGCCAAACATTAGATACTATAGATTGGCATATATTCTGAGAAAATCTCTTTTTGTTTATATTCTTTTTGTTACAATTTGTCCAGCTTTAACTTCGTTGTGCGTCAAAGTTCTCTTCAAATATCAAATCAAGTAAACATAACCCACTACTACATAAATATGATCAGCAATACTTTATGTCAATAACTTGAGAATATTTTTAGTATCAACGGTAATAAAAAATATTCGATAAGAAATAATGGCACTTCTTAGTCAATGTCAGGAAATTATTATCATGAGTTATGTAGTTAAAACGAAACCTGCTTGAACGAATTCTGATTTTACTAAAGGGCATCATCACAATATTATTTATTATATCTTCTTCTTCTTCGCTTTTAATGAAAATTAATATTATAGATACAATTATTAAAATAAAAAATTACCCTGTTAGGATCAGCTAAATTTTCTTCGGCCATGTCAACTTTAGTTAAAACGAATATTGTTCTTTTGCCGCTGGGATCGCACGATGCTACAAGATCTGTGACGTTACTTCGTTCTGCATCTACAGCACCATCCTAAAAATCAAATTATTGTAGATTTTATTAAAAAATATTAACACTACATCGAATATATCGACACTGTATTTCACGAATTTGAGGTTTTGGCTTATCGCTATACACTCTACTGTACAGCATAAAATATCTAGTAATGAAAATATGAAACACGCAATTTCTAAATTCAATTTAAAAAAATCCTTTTATAATCATTTTTGCAGTATTAATAAAAAGTTATTTACAGTAAATACTTTTGATATAATGCATGTAGCACTGGCACTTTTACTCGGAAATGTTTGTTTATCTAGTTTTACCCTTTTTTGCTCAACATTAAAGACATGTTAACAAGGTTATGAAAACTTTTAAATTATTGAAACATATTTTTATTTTAAATTTACTGCAAAATATTTGTTATAACCAGTTTAGTTATTACTAGAGACTGGATTATATGCAAAATGCATGTGCATATATGCAGCATATTTGTGGGTTTCTTTATAAACGCATGTGCTATTCATATTTATTTGATTAAGAGCATATTGCCACATATTTTAAAATATCACATAAATAAAATGGATTTCTATAAATATATAGATAATTGTATTACAAATATCTACTAAATCTACAAGTTTTATTGTTTGGGAAAACCCATCTGGGAATTATTTATCAGAAGAATAGGGCCAACATGCAGGTGCAGGTAGGTATCATACAGTAAATTCGTTTTTAAATTCTCTTTACCAGCTGGCAAAGCAACTTGTGATTGTGAATATTGTGCTTATAAAATAAAAATAATTTCTTTCTACCGAAACAGAAATCAAGTCTATTGCGGAATTGGGTTGGTGGTAACAGTGAAATGAAGATTATAGAAAATGAAAGTGTTTTCTGTACTATTTGTGATAAAAAGGTAAGTCCACTTATATTTTAACGATTAAAAAATTTAATTCAAAATCCCATTTTTGCAATAAAATCGGTATACCTATACTAAATATGTAACAGTTTGACTATTGGCGGTAGTTTTAGTTTCGAGAAAAAAATATAAGTTATCTTAAAAATTTTAAGTCCATATTATTGCATTAGACTCCTATTTACTAAACCGTTTTATTACAGATTCCATGTGAAAAAAATTCCAAATTTCCTAACACCTGAAAACGGCTCTCCACCAATATAACCTATCTAAGGACTTCAAGAAACCACGCCTGTAGCTTCTGCAGAACAACATTATTCAAAATCGTCACACATCGACGGGGCAAGAAATGTTTGCAAAATATGTATGCAATGCAATGTATTGCAAGTTGCAATATCCCACTGTATAAATTGGATAGCAAGGTGTGTCAAAATTTTTTGTAAAGATTTTTTGAAAACATATTGTAAGATTGAAAATAAGTCAGTACAGGTACCAAGTTCTTCAACTCTTCGCAAGAAATATGTGAGGGCATCTTACAAAGACGTTATTGAAGGTATTAAAAGCCGGGTAAGAGATGAATATCTGTGGATATCTGTCGACGAGACTACTGATGCCAAGGGTCGGCAAATCGCGAATTTAATTATTGGAGTTTTATTAGAAAAAACCAACTATGGAACAATTGCTCAATTTGTTAATAAATCTTTGACAAATTTCTTTTTACCGAATAAGTACCTTCTAAAAAAATTTTGCTACTAGTTAGCAATGCCGCTTCCTACATGGTAAAAGCTTTTTTCCAAATTTGATTCGTTGTTCATGCTAGCTCATGGTTTAAACAAGGTGGCAGAGAAAGTTAGACTTGAGTTTCCAAATGTAAACACTTTAATCCACAATGTAAAGAAAATATTTTGAAAAGCACCATTGCGAGTAGAAGTATATAGGGAGATGCTTCCCGATATACCTTTGCCACCGGAACCAGTGTTGACTAGATGGGGGACGTGGTTGAATAGTGCCGTATTTCTTGCAAATAATTATATTGATATCAAAAATGTTATATCAAATTTTGATCCTTCTTGTTGTACTGCTGTTCAGAAATGTCAAAATATTTTTAGTGAGAAGTCTGTTCAGAATGAACTGTCCTATATAAAAGCATTGATTATAAACCACTACCTAGATAGCTTACTCTAAGGTAAAAACAAATTCAGTGTTAAACTCTGCCCACTTACACCTCTTTGCCCCTCACGCCTAAGTACTACCTGACTGTATGGTGGCGACATTCATTGAAATATTTGTCAAGATTGAAAAATAAATTTAAGTTCCATGCTCCGCCAATTCTCTAGTGTAATAGAGGACGATATAAGCATGGCACTCAGCATTTTCACAAATAATTTTAACGTGCTTGTAATCTATATTATGAAATTCCGATTTTACTTCAGAAAAAACGCTAAAAATTGATTAATAAAAACAGTAAAGGTTTTCTAAAAATTATTTATTTATTAACACAATACAAAAAAATAACAAAATATAAAATACATAATAAAATTAGCAGTGATAAATTACATCTCATGTCAATACTTTTCGAGTTATTGAAAAATAGGTTCTTATTCGTCAAATTCCATGTTGAATATTTCAACGTGAAATAATAAAAAACTAAAGCACTTTTCGACGAAAACTCATTACAACTTTTTTTAAAGTGTTTAAAAAAGGTTTATTTTTGTTAAGTTTCTTGCATAAAGAGTAAGCAAGTTATGACCAAAATATTCAGAAAAGCAAAACCTACATTTTTTTACTCTTTGTGATTTTTGGTGTCAAGAAGTCAATCATATTCTGTGCAAAATAAAAAATTGTATAGAGGTGAACTAAATAAAATCACTATGATCTACTGTTAGATCGCATACTTTTTACAATTAAAAATTTTCTGAGGAGTTTCTGGAATTACGCCATCGAGGTTTTAAAAGCAAGTAGTGGTGAGTACCAAATGCAATCGATTTTGACTTTGACAAAATAACACAAATTACCAACGTTAAAAATGAATAATGTAAGTAATATCTGATTAAAATGACAGGGAATTTCCAATACATAAATAGTTGAGGGCCATCTGCCTAGGAACAATAGGTAAAAGCTGATAAACGGACAGGATTAGAAAGTTTATAACATCACTAATTAGATCATATTTTAAAACAAAGTAAATAAGTATATTTGAATGTTAATTCTTTTCAAACTAAGATTGTAAAATTAAAATTTTAGGAAAAAAGATTATTTACTATTTCTTGTTCTCAAGAAGTACTTTCATTATTGACAATATCGAAACATTTTATTATTAAAAGTCGAGAAGAATTTTCTGAGGAAACGTACATATTTATATCAAAGTGCTATAAAAATGAAGGTTCTTGAGAAGAATTAATATTTTTTAACAAACAAAAGATATAGGTGGAAAAAAAGGTTTTCATATTTATTTTAAGTACAATTTGTGACGTTTCTGGTTTGTTTACTATTGTGGCTGTCAGTCTGTTGAATTATTTTTTTGCTGTTTATTTGTCGAATTTTTGCATTTTGAAGTCTATTTACCTTTACTTTTATCGAAAATAAGTAATTTTCTGTGAATCTTTTCCCTTTTAGTTTTTTGTTTGCTTTCATTAACATTATAAAACTGACAAGTTTTTAAAAGTTTGATTTTTACCAAGAATTTTATAATTTTTCTTTTATGGTCGTCACAGCTTTCAAGCCAATTAGTAGTTAATAAAATATGCTTAGTCACATAGGTTTCAATTTTATTAAAAACTGCATTATCTACTTTAAATAAACTAAACGCCTCGTGAAACTTTTCTAACAATATTGTAGTAATAGTAACAAACAAATCTGATGGTCTCTGAAGAAACTTTATTTCTTCGTTTGCGGCATAATCTCTGAAAAGTAACATTAATTCGTGTTTCTCTAATAGAATTTTATTGTCTTTTAGCAAATCTTCCTGGCATTTAATACAATTCAAATTCTTTATAATCTTATAGTAAATATATCCAGCGACATATGTAACAGCACAAGTTTCTAAATTTATGCTAGATTTGCTGGAATTTGCCGCGCTTAAAATTTTGTTGTCATTATTTTCCTTTTGCTTGTCTAAAGATTTTTCTACATGAACTGTTTGGGTTTCAATAGATTCGTTAGATATTTCGACGCTAGTTACTTCGTGAGTTAAATCTAAATTATCAGTTTGTGCTATTTCACAATTTCCATTGTCTAAAGCAATTTTTAGTTTAATATTTGTGTTATGCTTAATGGCAATTTTTAAGTGACTAACACTAGGTGTTGCATTGTAACCACCCCTATTGCGCACAATAGAGAAAAAATTTTCTAGAGGATCTTAGTTCAGAAAAGATGTTAAAAGATATGATACATTATATTTTTGAAGTTCCTCCCACAAACAAAACTGACAAAATTGTCCACTGAAAGCCGTGTAGACAGTGAATATTATTTCTTTCTTGCAAAAACTTTAATTTTTTTAAAATATTCTAAACCTGCTTTTAAGTTTTCAGTTGACTTGCTTGAAGTTGACATTGTCTTTCTGTTTGGATTACTATCACTATAATATTTGCTGTTAAGACCATCAAAAATATTATTTATAATTTTCACAAAATCGGCAGTATAAGGAGCCGTTTTAGTGTGTAACTGCCCTACAGCTGTTGCTGTTGATATTCCTGAGGCAACTGAGTTGTAAAAAATTTGTGCTGCTAATTTTACACGCATTTTTTGAAAATTATTAGGGTTTATATGAACGTCTGTTATTTTCACCATGCATCGTGCTCTAACATTGGTTCTATCGATGTTGTATGTGTTTTCAATATCTTGCCATGATATTTGTTTAGAATCGGCAAAAAACGTCAACGTTTTGTTAAGAAAATTATTTCTTAGACTTTTTAATAAGTGGGGTGTATCAAACACAGTGAAAATCCTCTGATTTCCTATTTCTATTGCAGGCTGATCCTTACATGCGCCTAACAGTTTAAATAAAGCTCTATTATTAGATGCTTGATCACACACTAACACTTTTGGTAAGTATATACCCAATATTTTGTAATTTTGAAACAACTTCAACTACAATGTTTTTTAAGTTGTCGCTATGTAT